ATAACGTAGAGAAGACGTATTGATTTTTTGTCTTGTATGAAGATCGAGTTTTCGATCACTTATCTAGTTGACAGCTAAAAATATGCATGTGCGTAGCACGACCGAATTTCATCAATCACACAAGAGCGAGTTTATCAATATGCGAATATAATCGTGCTATCGAGCAACATAACGGGGGAGAAGGGCATAGCGACTATGGACAGAGAATGTTACCATAAATGTGTTTATGGAAATGGATATGGATATATATATATATGTATGTAAATGTGATGCATGCAATGCGAAGAATATTTCACTGGATTAAAACTAACATTCGTTAGAGGGAAGAAAAAAAAAAACTAGAAAAATATCTATGCGCATGATACAAGCATCAGCAGGGAATAAAATCAAATGGTCTAATTTGATGATGGTATAGCTGCTGTCAACTAGATATGTTTGACTAAAACATATAAAAAAAAAGAAATTATATCTTACTTTCGAGGTTTTGGTATTCCACACACAGAATCATCACTATCAAAATCATATTCTTTTGGTTTATGCATAGATCTTCGATGATTATTATTCGTATTATTATTATTAAGTAAACGTCCATTGAAATTTGATTTTTGATTATTAAATGTCATTGAATCGAGTGATTTATAACGAAGTAAAGCAGCTCGATTAACACGTTCAATATCTGTTGTTAATGATGATGATGATGATGAAGATGAGAAATCTTCTTCTTTTGCTAAATGTTCTCGACTTATAGATTTTGGTTGTCGAGAAGATTTATTAAATTCATTATTTATTATTGGAGAAATAAATGATGATGTTTGTTCTTGATATAAATCAACACTTTTCGAACGTTTCATTTGTTTACGTCTTTGAAAACGACGACGTGATTGATTTTGTTGACCACTATTCATCGATTCATCTTGTTGTTGTTGTTCAAAAATTGTTGAATGTATTGGTAATTCTAATTTTGATCGACCATTACTCATATTTGCTGTAGGTGATGGTCGATAATGATAT